AATAAACAATTAGCAGACAAGAATGACACTCTTAACCAACTGAATAAAGAACTCAAAAAAGATAATGTCAGGTAGGCAAGTAGAATGTTCAAATTTAAACTTGTAAAGAAACATGTTGTAGAAATGTTTTCTATTCTCTTTATAAGCCATTATAACTGTTATCTTGCAATCTGATTGGTTGGGAGCATGTGCTTTATGAGAGCACAGCATATACGCTCGTTGTGTCGTTCCTATCTAAAATTTGTATTTTATAAGAGAAATAAAAACACTTGATTGCTGTGCTGTGTGGAGTTATAAAACACTTGGGGATTGGCAGAACACTTGAGAAGTGTCAAGAAGCACTCTCTTGTGTTCTGCCAACCCCAGTGTGCTCTGTAATTGCACACAGCACATACACACATTTTCTTTCACACTAGTTTTTAGCTAGTTATCTCCATTTGTAAAGGAGTTAAGAATGATTTTTGGTCAATCCTGACATGATAGGAAGGATTTAAGATCAAGTCTCGACACTAAACACTCACTTTATACCAGATACCATTGAAGTATATAACATAGAATGATAAATAAATGGCTTTATTCCATACTATTGCAGTTTGACTAAGACATTAAAAGACTTGAAAGAAAGGTATGATCATTTACACGGAAAACTGAAAAGGTAATTATCATGATTGAATTGGATATACATGTAAAGACAATCTTTTATTATGCTTGATTTTAATGTTTTTCTATTTTAGACCATGTGTCATTCCCTAGAGTATCATTTTTTGTTTACCAATGCACTGTGTCTGTGATATGGTGGCCATCTTGAATCAGACGGCATTACATAGTATGGGTCATCCAGAGGGCAAATATACAAAGCTTTGTCATAGTGATGGTGTCAATAGCCCACTTCCGAGATATGCTTTGCTTGTCACGCACAAAGGTCTCAGTATGAGGCTACTTGTTAAATGCTCAGTCATTTGTGACAGGCGGTAAGAAAAAATTTAATTTAGCACGTAGCCTCATACTGAAACCATTGTGCGTGACAAGCGAAGCATATCTCAGAAGAGGGCTATTGACATTTACAGTTCACAACAAGACAATTTGACAAGAGAAATTAAAAGAAATGAAAAGTTCCATAACTGAGGAAATGTTCTCAAATATTGTGCGGCTGTCATTTCAGCATATTTGTTTTGTTTTGCTCCCTGGGCCACCCATGATGCCTTGCAAATCAAGATGGTTGCCGCATCGTCAAAGTAGTCCATTGTGCTTGAGAAGATGACACATGATAATGGATGCAACTCAAACAAACAATCTTATTTCCAAGAGAATGAAACTTAATGACTTCTTTACTTTGTGTACAGTGTTTTTACACTTCAGGGCCCGGTTGTACAAAGGATGGATAGCGCTACACTGTATATCAGATGGTTAATTTTTTTCCAGTAGTTAAGTTGATACTGTTTTCCCTTCAATAAATTTATCCAGTGGATAAGCTTAGCACTATCCACCCTTCATACAACCTGGCCCAGACCATGTTTCCTTTTCATAGGAATAAGCTTTCTTGTTTCTGTTTCTTCTCAAGCATTACCTTTAACATAGAAAAAGCTAAGTAATAGGTGAGGGGGGTCAGAGAAAGAACAAAATTACAGAGTTTGTATGTAAGAAAATTGGAAGTTCCTGGGGGTAGGGGATCCTTTTACAAATTCCCTCCATGGTGGGGTATAGATATTTTCTGGAACTACACAATAATATTATTGCTTTTGGTTTGTTTTTGCTTTGTTTTCTATTCGGTACTTTTAATTACTCATGATGCTTGAT